ATGACGGATACAACGTCTTGGACGAATTTAATTCATCAGACGGATTTAATTCGTTTCATACGACGCACTAACGTCGCATTTAATTGGTTCAATTAAATTCGTCTGAATTAAATTCGACGATAGTGCGACGTATGAAACGGGCCTTATAAATGATGCTTCGTATCCAAGTTCCTCATAATTTTATTTTAATACGTAAATTTGTGAAGCCAGTGACCGTAGAGTAAGGACAAATCGATAATATTTTAGGTAAGGACACATCGATAAAGTAAAAATTTCAGTTTGGGAAGATGGCAAAATGTCTTGATTACTGCAGGTGAATTTTTCAGTTTGGTCCAAGACAAGCTTCGTCTTGGTTCAGCACACACCTAGGTGGCTTTTCCACAGACATGGAGCAAGTGTGTATACAGATACAATTTTCACATTTCATTTCGTTTCGTTTCATTTCATTCTATTTTATTTAATTTCAGTCACCTATTGAAAGAATTCAAAAGCAACAAGAGGTATTGCAGTATGACGTGACTAAAATGAAAACGAGGCTGAAAACACTTCAGACCCGTACAGTTCGTTTGGAAGCCATGTTGAAGGCGATTCTGAGCCATCATGGGATAGATGTGAAACCAGAAATTGACGAAGATGACGCAGAACTCAAGTGGAACCCTTCTGATGACGAAGCAGATCGGTATATTGCTGGATAGACGGGAGGTTCATTGCATATATGACGCTCTCCTTGGCAGTAGCGGAAACGTCGCGAAATATTGATTGGGGAGATTTAGGTTGCCAACATATTACCACATTTTGTTGCTGGAAATCTAAGTTCTTTGAACTTTTTGCCCTAAATTTCATGCAATATTTAGCTTGATTTATAGCCTACCAACTCTGCTACCAACGCTTCCATGGTTTAAAAGTAATCGTTACAGTTATTCAGCCATCATTCACAGGCTTTCAGAAATTATTTCGGGGGAGGGGATTGCCCTGGCCCCTGCCACCCTGGTGTCCGCCACTCTTCTTTTGGAAGTGCCGTTGTCTAGAGATTTAGTGACAGTAACCAGAAGATAACAAATGTTCTTCGAGTATCTGTTTTCAACATATATGCACATATATGAATCTGTGGAGGCACTAAGATAGTCTGTAGTTAGTTCAACACGGACTGGTTGTTTTTGCTTGCATGTTTTTTTTTGTTCAGAGGTTCTCATGATAAGGATTTTAAATTACATATGACACATTTGTTTAAACGAAAGAGGTCTTAAAACTGTAGAGTAACAACCAGCTTGACTTCAGCATAAATGAATGTTCTCTTCGCTTGTGTTTCACGAAATCACTTGGAACAAGCAGTACGAAATCACTTGGAACAAGCATATTTTGTTAATCTCGACCTGCAGTATCAGTCATGGATATGAAACCTTTATCCCATTATGTATATATGTAAATGACGTCGATATGCCTTGCTTTTTTAAATGAAAATGAAATATCTCAAAGGAAGCATGCGAATAGAAATCTACAAAAGAAGTTATACTCTACTGTTTTAAGAGCTTTTTCGGTCAAGACAACAAACAATTTCGTGTTATATACACTTCAAAAACAATTTTCGGGAGGGGGGGGAGTGGTAAGAAGCGGAATGTTAGCACTTCAACATTCAATATTCACACTGCATTATTCAATATGCAATACCTACAATTCCTAAAATATAGCTGGCGAGGGCGGGAGGGCAAATATTCACTCATTCATATTGCTACACTCAATATTCACTCATTCATATTCATATATATATATCTCAATATTCACTCATTCATATTCCTATACACTCAATATTTACTCATTCATATTCATTTACACTCAATATTCATCATCAGCAATATTTATATTCCAATTATTCATATGACCTCGTTTAAATCGCAACTACCTAAAAGACGTCAGACATCGTAACTTCGCTAAATGTTGTATTATTTAAATTATTATCTGTATCAAAACTGTGTCACAGAATACAGACCATACAGAAAGCCGACTTCTTGGTTGCAATGATGTTGCCATGATCCTGGGCAATGTGGACTTTGAGGGGGCTGAATGCCTCATACATAAGTAAGTGGGGGGGTGCTAATCATCCTTACTTGCAGCTGAAATGTGAAGGACGCGGCTCACCCTGATCCACTCGCTGACTTACTAAGAGGCAGCCACCTTAATTATGACTCATGTCTGACAGAGCACAGCTACGGTGAAAAGGGTCGGTTAGGAGGCTAGGAACACGAATGCGTTTTGATGACGAATCATGGCGTGGCGGCAATTACGCTTTCAGTAACTGCCGGAGTCTGCTTTCTGTATGGTCTCTATTCTGTGACTGTGTACTTAACATGTAAAAATGGCAAACGAAGTGTACAGATAGTAAAAAACTTAACAACTTATATACAAAGGATGTACGGAAAAGTAAACCTCGAAAATTAAAAGTAATAAATTCACTATTTTGTGACAATATTGTTAGAAACGTATATTTTTGTTAGTTATCCTTTTGACTTAGTCTTATTTAATCGCTTTACTGTGTATTTCATGTCGAGTTGCGCAGAGTGAATAAAACTCCTGCCATGCGAATGTGCATTTGTGTTTAATTTAAAAATTCCGTTCTCGAATCCAGAGTCAACCACCCCCTCCCAAAACACTTTTATCTTGTGTTCAAAGAACTTGGACTCGCAAGTCTACAAAACTGCAAATTATATCGATCGATGTAGCAAATTGTTTGGCTTTTCATTGAGCTTTTTGCGTGATTCAGCCTCTACAAATTTGCAAAAAAAGAATTACAAATCCAAATTACACGACTCCATGATACTCTTACAATAAACAATTGAATATAGTATGTGTATACCAATCGACAATGCATATCCCACATTTAAGGTTGTGAAACATGCATTTTCCATGGTTTGGTCAGCTTAATACTTTCATTCTCTTATTACTAATTTTTTATTGCTTTAGATGTACATTATATTTGACTTCTAATCACACCGCTGCGTAAGTAATTATTTTTCACTGACTCACTCGTACCCAGTACCTGAAATGAGGATGGAAAAAAATAATGGTGCATAGTGAGAATCAGGCATCACACTTCGCACTCCACTTATCTCCTATCTATTAGGCAATTCAAAAAAGGTTGTCCTTCGCAAATCTTAAACTCTAAACGTTAAACTCTATGCACATGCACAAAGCTTATGGGAGCACATGATTCAAGCCTGGTAGTTGAATATTGCAGCTATTTGTGAATGAATTGTTCTCGTAAGGAGATAATTACCATGTCTCTAAGAAATGGGCCCCATATATGATTTCTAAACTGATTAAATAATGCTCCCGTTATGCTTTGCACGCTTAGAGTTTAAGGTTTAGAGTTGGTGTGCAAAGGACCTTTTTTGAATTAGCTGCATGTACTTGAAGTACTTCATTGTCTCCTGGCCCTGCCATCTTGACATCATTCAATGAAGCTACTGATCGAGTTCCGTAGTTTGACGACAGGGCCGTAGCGAAGAATTAACTGTAACATATTCGGAAAATCGGGTTGGCCATTCGGAAAATTACGGCAATAATAGTATAACAAAATTTTAGTTGTTTAAACAGAGAAAATATTATAAAATGGTGTTGTCAGTATAAACCATTGGTATAACCTGATTTACGAAATCACGGCATTTACATGGTAACGTAAAACAAATCGGTAAATGTTATTCGGGTAATTACTTCTCAGGGCCATAGCAGTCGGGGGGAGGGGGGACTGGAGGCAGCAGCCCTTACAATAATTTGCTGATAATCATTCTTTTTTCAAAATCATGCACACCTTTATCATTTAAATAATATACCTTTAAAATACTGACAATAGACTAGAGGTGTGCATCGGATCGGATTGGACGTTTATAATCCGACAATTGCCTAATGTTTAAAATCCGATCCGAAATTGTCTAATCCGAATCCGATCCGAGTTTTGAAAAAGAATTCCAATCCGATCCGATCCGAAGAATTCTTTAATAAAATAAATTTCTCATTCAAGTTGAAATATTTAACCAAATAAATATAAAAGCAAGAAATACATGTCAAGAAGCTGACAAAGTGACGTCCAATTGAAGCGTCAAATGAATAATGCAGCTAAAACTGCGATGATACTTTGATAAATGTATGGATAATTCATTCTTGCGATAATGCATGGATAAATTAATTCATTACAATTTCGGATATCGAAGTCCGATCCAACTACGAAACAACTTTATCAATCCGATCCGAAATTTACATTTTGGTTCCGAAATCCGAACGAATCCGAACGAATCCGGATGTTGTAAAATGCGGATAATATAGCCTTGCGAAGTTTGCCGTTTTTCATTCATTTAGCATTACAAACGGGAAATTGATAATTAGTAGATGATCAAACTGATTATCAATTTCCCATTTGTAATACAATGACTGAAAAACGGCAAACTTCGCAAGGCTATATTATCCGCATTTTACAACATTTCGCAACGAAACTTCGGAATATTACTAATTTTGTGATGCTCTTTCAAGCTGTGATGAAATTTTTGTTTAGGCTTGTCTAGATCAAAATTTCACTCATAAGGGGAAACTTGAGAGGGGAAAGGTCTATTGATTAATTTTAAGCGGCTACATTATCCATGACAAACCGCAAAGAATCATATTACCTATACTCTTTCCTGCAATATATAGTTAATTAAATACGCCTTCGCCCATTTAGTTCTACTAAATTGTAAGCAAATTGTAAATTTCGACATACTAAAACTCTATTAACAACTCGAACCGACTTGACCACGTAGCTCAGTTGGCAGAACATTGGACTAGTATCCCAAAGGTCGCGGGTTCGACTCCCACCGTGGCCAAGCAAACTTTTCAGCTTGCCCGCGGGTTCGACTCCCACCGTGGCCAAGCAAACTTTTCAGCTTGCCCGCTGTGGATGCATACTCAGAGTAACGTCACAAATATCATACTAAAACTCTGTTTTCTGATCATCAGAATTCTGTCAAAACTTCCCCAAAGTCCAGGAAATGGCATTTCAGAGAATCTAAATTTAAAAATTTCCTCGAGCCTTCGCCCGCGTTCCCAGCCCCCAATAAAAAAGAGCTTCCTACGGCACTGCATGCTTCTGTAATATGTCTTTGCGTAAAGCACGCCAGCGGTAATAATTATTATGCAAATGAAAATAGCTTCGATATCTTCGACAGCGTTTATAATACGACAATAAGAATGAAACAACATGAAATTTAGCAAATTTGTTATACTTCAACAATTTGTATCGTCATTTGAAAACTTAATTTTAATGTTATTGAATAGTTTGTCATTCACACCCAAATTTATTGTAAATAATTATTATGTAATAATATTAAAAGTGTTTATTACTTTATCCAAACCTTCGTAAATCAAACAGCAGGCTTTAAAAAATGAAGAGAAACTACATAGCTGGCCTCAAAATAAGTAATGATTGCAGGTAACACAATTTCTATAAGCACTTCATCAAAATGGAATCCTGTCCTTAAGTCAAATTAAGTCAAACATACTGGTTCTAATTGTCAGTAATGAATGTAATCCCCCTTTGCACTAATCACTTTGATAAGTCTATTGCTCATGGAATCCGTTAGGTTTTTAATTGCATCCTTATGTATAGCAGCTGCAGAGCTTTGAATTGCTTCCCAGAGACAGTTTTTAGATGAGAATTGCTTGCCACTTTCGTACACTTTGCTTTTAAGTAATGACCAAAAATTCTCAATGGGGTTAAGATCAGGCGAACACGCTGGCCACATCATTAAACGACCTTCCTTAAACCCAAACTTGCTTAGGGCTTCGCAAGTGTAACAAGCTGCATGTGAGGGGGCATTGTTGTGCATGAATATAATTTTTCTCTTTAGTGTCAATGGTTGCTTTTTGTACCAGAGAAGGAAGTTTTTTTCAGGAATTCTACAAACGATTGGGCTTTCATTTTTACTCCATCAGGGACACAGAATGGGCCCACCATCACGTCATTAATGATTCCTGCCCAAATCATGACACCTCCACCACCTTGTTGTCTCCTAATCTTGCTCTGTGGAGTTGTACCATGTAGTAACCAGCCACTCATCCAACCATCTGGACCGTCGAGAGTTGCCCGTGACTCATTAGTGAACAAAACATGTTCAAAATTGGTTTTCATGTATGATTTAGCCCAGTCTAGAGGAGCCAACTTATGTCTATGTTTTAATGGTGGTTTAATTGTTGGCTTAATAATTTTCCCAATGCTCCTTAAAATCAGACACCGTCCAGCTCTTGATCTTGATCTTGAGGGAACTCCAGCTTCATTGAATATTTTGGAGCTGGTTGAATGAGGGTTTTTTGCTAACGCTCTCTTTACTGAACTAATTTCCCGACGAGAAATTTTTGAAACTTGCCTTTATCCGACCGCTGCCTCACTTTCTTTATGTTTGCAATAAAACTTTTGACTGTACAATGGTCTTGATGTATTAATTTAGAAATATCCAGACTGGTTTTGCCCTGATTTAGTAATTGTACAATATTATCCTTCTCTTCGGGTTTTAGATCGGTTTTACGCCCCATATTGGTCGCGTGTAACAGACTGAATCATATTTTGGCTGGTACTTATAAGCCTTGCATAATAATTATTTTCATTAATTTTGGGGTTTTTATGCAAACAATTCAATAAATTCTAAGTTAACTACCCATGCTCCACCGCACTTGGTATAAATTGGAACCAGTATGTAAATTTCATGATGTTTCATTCTTATTGTCGTATTCTAAACGCTGTCGAAGATATCGAAGCTATTTTCATTTGCATAATAATTATTAACACAGTGTATAGTGGCCTAGCTTGTATAAATAATATATATGTATGTATGTA